TTTGATAGCAAATGTCTAACCAACAAAAACTGTATATTCAGAAGCAAAGGGATCATCGCGAAACTAAAACTAAAAAGAAAAAACAACAACCAAAACAATCAGGAAGAAACAACAAACGAAAAAAAGTGCCAAGAATTAAGATCAGTCTGTATAGGCTGGAACTAAGCAATTGTAATTTAACCGTAGTCTCACGGCACGGTTTGTTTTTCGAGGCCAATTTTCACTTTTAATGTTAGGCTACTTTGCTTCGCTCCTTACGGTACTCCCTAAAGAAAGGGATACATCCCACGATTTTCTTCTTAAAAGAAGAGAACTTGGTGAGAAGTCAGTTAGAAACGGATTACTGTAGGAAATACACTTGTCTACTAGAGCGGTTTTGGACAGTATTTTTCTGTTACTGAGTGTCAGAGATGTAGCGAAATCCAACAGAAGTCGCTGGTAATTGTGACATAAAACAAAAGTAAATTCAATAATGTAGTAAAGCGAATTAATGTTGCTATTCTACAGACCACACTGTCTGAGACTCTTAATCAGCGAATGTTAGAGCTATCTCAGGTCAAGTTTCGGCGTCGTTCCAAGCCATCTAGATGCTACAGACCACCCCTGCATCCTCCCAATGGCTACAGTGGTGATTTCCCCATCCATCATGACGACAGTTAAGTAGCGACGACTCTCCTCCTCCACAGTGGACATGATTCATCCAGATACGGCCAGAACCAGGGCCGAATGTTGCCCAGTAAGTTACCGAAGCTGCACCGGTAAATCCCAGCTGGCGACACACCACATGCGCTTCTCTCATATCCCAGTAGTGATCACACACCGTTCCCCACTGTCCGTAGACGTACACTTCAACACGACCAAAGTNTCATCCATCCAAATTGGACCAGTTCCTTGACCATGGGTGGCACTGCTGTATGCTCGTAGAGCGCGAGTAAAGCCAAGTTGCCTGCAAAAGACGTTAGCATCATTCATATCCCATCCGTCATCACAGATTGTACCCCACTTACCATCGTAGAAGATTTCAACTCTTCCCTCAGGTGACGGTATTGGGGAACTGTTGTTTATACGGATGGATCCTCCTGTAATGACTAATCATAAGAGACAAAAATAGACCGGATTTTCATTTGAGTGTCGTAAACCCAAAACCACAGAAATCACCCTAGTCAGTCAGAAATTACACCAAGATTCAGGTAAACCAATCAGAAAAGGGAGCAGATGTATCCAGTTGACTCAAAGCGCGGTAAACTGTGAGCGAGTTAGTATTGGCTCTTTTTAAACTTCTGACTGGACTGACAAAAAAGGCGCGACTTTAATTTTTGGGCCAATCGCTTAGCGTGGAGCTGAGATGTAAGGCGAAGAAAGATTTCAATAACCTTATGAAAACCGGTTTAAGTGAATGATGAAAACAATATGAGGTTGAGTACAACGATGCTCAAATGATCAAAATGAACAAACACGTACGTAAGCTCAAATCTTAATTTTGTCTCGCGTACCAAATAGATGAAAGCCTTTATTCTCTAAGACAATAC